GAAACAAATTCTGCATTTAAGGAGCTGAAGTTTTTAACACCAGTGAGACGTTCTCAATGTCTTCAAGAGAAAACTTCTAAATTGCCAGATATGTTAAAAGATCATTATCCTTGCGTGTCTTCATTAGAACAGCTAACGGAGTTGGGAAGACAAACTGAAGCTTTTGTATGCCGCCCTAATGCAGCACTGTGCCGGATGTACTCTGAGGATTAAATGACAGAAGAGAACTAAAGCTCTGATAGGGAATTGGGTTTTTATGATTTGTGGGGTGTTTGTTTGGAGTAGCTTTATATTGCCCTTAGGTCTGGAGTTGGCCAAGTACCTATGTAAGTATTCATGGCAGTGAGCTGCTTTACTAACATTCATGTTATGGCAAGAGTTGTCCTCTGCATTAGAAAGCTAATGCTACTGTTTCAATCTCAACTGACTGAGTTTTTCTTTTAAGATAGGCACATCTTGTCAGCTAGTTTACTGTGTTCCTTGAATATAAATAGGTTATAATACTAGGCTGTTCACTTTACTAACTATAAGTACAGTAATGATGCATCATTAGAAAATGAGTTATTCTAGTTAAAATGTGTATGTTTGCATTGACATGTTTTTAAAAGTTATGATACACCTCCCTGCCTTACACAGAATAATTTTGGGGGAAGGTTTCTTGGATTAGTATGAAAGTTAAAAACTGTATAGAATGACTCACTTTGAATATTAAGACACAGGAGGTTTAGCTTGCTTTCTCACCAAATTCATGTTACCCAGACTTGTGTTCTGTTGTCCCTTGGACTGCCTATTGATTGATGCAAGTGTCTGCACTCTCTTTTTTCATCCGTAGTAGTCTGTGGTCTCATGGCCTCTTTTGATTATAACTGTGGTCACCAAGAAGGATGCTTAATTAAATAAGATAAGATACTTTGTGTAAGAAAGAAAAGATGCCAACTTCTGTAACTTCACTTGGTAGTTTTTAAACAATTAGAATGGAGTAGGGAAAGAATATATCATACTGAATAAATGTCATTCTAGTTTAGAAAGCATTTCTAAAATACTTGATAGTTACACATTTTTCTCTCCACACATAAATACCACCACTAAAACTGTTTCGTAAGTCTCTAAACTAATACTTACGTGGCACAGATCATCTGTCAATTCTATGGTTTCAAATAAGTGACTTTTTAATTGTAAAAGATTAGTTTAAAAGCTATATAATGTGGTTGAAGATCACATGCTTTGTCATTTTTATGTTCATTCCATTTATGTATCTTTTTTTCTATTGACTTCTCATGTTCTAGAGAGTAAGGTTTTTATTCTGTATTTTATACAACAAAAATAACTATAATGATGTTTTCATGAAGTTTATTTCAACAAATACTTGATGAAATGCAGTTTAACTACAGTGAGTGAATTTTAGCTTTGCTTTTGAAATACATTGTAAGATTTAAATTGAGGTTTTTGACACTTAAATATATGCTTAATGGTATATTTTCTTTTCAAAAATCATCAGTCTACTTATATAATCTTTACCTAATTTTTTTCACTTTAACGAAAACAATAACTATGCTCTTTGGTTTTTTTCATACTTTGAATGAAGTCAAGCTTTGATACACTCTCAGCTTTTTAATATCCATACCATGTAATTCATTTGTCTTTATAGCATAGCTTGAAATATCTCTCTGAAAGAGAACTCAAGATACAAACTTTGTGTTTGGACAAGTTTTTAGTTTTAGTTTTTGGTTTTTTGTTTTCTCCTTTAGCTGAGGGAAAATCTGTCTCTAAATGGTTCTAGTTCTAACATTCAACCAGAGGTCTAACTCCTTTTCTGATGCTTAAGGACAGCTATAACATCTCTCCCCTAGGTTTGTTCCAAGCTAAATATGTCCAAGGATGTGATACTGTGCATAAGCATCCAATAGAAATGTAGCAGGGACCCCTTTCACGGGCCTGCTTGGATCTTCCCATGCATACTAATAAAAAGTCTTGAGTCTCCTCAAGGGAAATTCCAGGTACCTTAGTTAGCTTCAAAAAAGTAAATGAGCAGCCTGGAATAAGGACACAAATGTTTAGTTCCCTATAAAAATGAAAGATTACATGTTGAGTTTTTTAGAAACCCAGATTCATACCAGATGAAAAATGCCACCCACTGTCATGTGGACCTAAGATAAGGGGAAACAGGACTGAACTCTAACCACCATTCTTTGTTCTGTATTTCTTCTTAAGGGGCCTAAAGAGAATCATGCCCACAAGCAAACCCTTAACATTCCTTTCTGCTGACCCTAAGTTTTTAGACAAAGCCCTACTTTAACCATTGCAAAGCTCTGAATCTACCTATAACCTATAAGCCCCTGCTTCAAGACACTTACCTTTTTGGCTCAAACCAATTATAACCTCCATGTGTTATTGATTTATGATTTTGCCTGTAACTTCCACTTTCCTAAAGTGTACCCCTGCCATTAAAAACCCTTGCTTGTAAGCCATCAGGAAGCTTGGGTCCTTTTTTTTTCCTTTTAGAGCCTTGCTCTTGTCACCCACGCTGGAGTGCAGTGGCGCGATCACGGGTCACTGCAACCTCTGCCACTTGGGTTCAAGTAATTTTCCTGCCTAAACCTCCTGAGTAATTGGATTACAGGTGCCTGCCAGTATGCACAGCTAATTTTTGCACTTATAGTAGAGATGGGGTTTCACTATGTTGGCCAGACTGGTCTGAAACTCCTAATGTCAGGTAGTCGGCCTCCCAAAGTGCTGGGATTACAGGCGTGAGCCACCACACCTGATCTAGAAAGCTTGGGTCTTAAACTGCCCAGTTCTTGTTGCACACCCTATAATACCTCAATTTCTCTCACTACAAATCCTGGTGACAGTGTCTGGCTTTCGCTGTATGTTGGATGAGTGGATCCGAGTTTGATTTGGTGATGACCTACATTCCAAAATCTCAAGCTTCTCCCTTAAAAGTTGTGTGAGCTTGGATATGAATCCCATCTTTCTGAGAGGTAAAAAGGAGATAACCCCTGTAGTCATTTTGTACCATGTTATCTGCCTGACCCCCAGGTTGATTGGCCAGGAATGGTCACCTGACCCAAGCTGGACATGTCAGAGAACTTTCCATAGGAATTTGGAATCAAAATAGACAGTCTTTTTTTTTAATGTAGTTAAATATGTGCTGGGTGACCAAATGAGGGTTGAAGAACAAAGGTCACCAGTCAACAGAAAAGACCATATAAATAAAACTGTGTGTGTGTTTGTATATACACTTTGCGCGGTTTGTTTTGCTTTATTAGCTATACATGGCACCATACCTTATGTATGATTATGTAATTTGCTTTTTTTTTCCTAATTTACTAAGTCTTGGGGGAATTTCCATTTATGTAAATCAATGTAACATTAATTATGACTGCATGGGAATTTAATAAATACTACATTTCAAATAGTGGGAGAAAGAGTCAGTTACCCATTTTGGGAACAAGAGATTTCAATCCCTGCCTCACACCATTTGTAAAAATAAATTCCAGGTAGGATAAATAGTTAAATTTAAGTAAGTATATTAGGAGGAAATATAAAATATGTTTGGTTTTGAGACAGGTCTTACTCTGTTAACCCAGACTGAAGTGCAGTCGTGCAATCATGGCTTATGACAGCCTGGACCTTCTCGAACTCGGGTGATTCTCTCATCTCAGCCCCGTCTCCCCTCGAATTCTGGGGCCAGAGTTTTAAAGGGTATTTTGGCGGCAGGGCGCTGGGGAACTGAAACAATTGACTGTCTGGGAACGAAATCACAGGAGCCTCTGCAACTCGGAGAGGTTTCACAGATTCCCAGGACGGGGGTGGGGTCAGTTTCCTTTGCCTCCAAGTTTACACGAAATCCCTCTCATAGGTATCCTAGCCTCTGTGCTAGAATAAGAAAACAACACAGTAACTTAGCCTGTGAGGTTAGAAGCAAGATGGAGTCAGTCATGCTAGATTTCTTTCATTATTTATAAATCTACAAAGGTGGTTTCAGGGCACTTTATGAACTTAGCCCATGTCTCACCGGTGATCCCACTTCTGGGTGTTTGTAAATCACTTTATTAAGTTTTTAAATTATTGTTGCAGGCATGCGAAGGAGCCGATATATTTCTGCCACGTTCAGTGTGTATTCAGGTCTTATGATGGTCATATGGGTGTAATATTGAGTAACAAGCAAATGTGGACAGAAAACATCAAATGTGGTTTTTAGCTAAGAAGTCTGGTTGCTCTTATTTTTTGGTTACTCTCCGTTGCACAGAATAAAGCCCCAAAGAAATGAAGAATAATAACATGGTTTCTTGGCTTTCATGTTAAATCGCGTAATGCCAGGTGTTAGAATAGTGGTAAAGGACTTGTTTCTCTCACATGTCTATATACACTCAAAAACCTAATCGTTCTTGGAAAAAAAAATTATTTCGAAGACAATGTGTATGATTTGGTTATATGAGATTATTTCTAGGATTTCCTGGTAACTCTGTGATAAGCAGGAATACAAACTGCAAGTTTTACAGGTCACTGTAGTAGAGGTTTTAGTTTTATTTTTGCTTTGGCTGTCATGCTCTTTCTGCCTTATAATACTTTGTGGTATGATTAGAAGATAAATACTATAAGCTTTTTGAAAAATCAGGTAAATTTATTCCAGTGCTTTTCTTGCAATGAAAAAGAATGCAGGCCGGGCGCAGCGGCTCACGCCTATAATCCCAGCACTTTGGGAGGCTGAGGCGGGTGGATCATGAGGTCAAGAGATCAAGACCATCCTGGTCAATGAGGTGAAACCCCGTCTCTACTAAAAATACAAAAATTAGCTGGGCATGGTAATGCGCGCCAGTAATCCCAGCTACTCAGGAGGGTAAGGCAGGAGAATTGCTTAAACCCAGAAGGCGGAGGTTGTGGTGAGCCGAGATTGTGCCATTGCACTCCAGTCTGGGTAACAACAGCGAAACTCCGTCTCAAAAAAAAAAAAGAAAAAGAAAAAGAATGCTACTTTTTTTTTCTTTTTTTTTTTTTTTGAGGCAGAGTCTCATTCTGTTGTCCAGGCTAGAGTGCAGTGGCATGATCTCGTCTCACTGCAACCTCCGCCTCCCGGGTTCAAGCGATTCTCCTGCCTCAGGCTCCCGAGTAGCTGGAACTATAGGTGCTCACCACCACACTCAGCTAATTTTTGTATTTTTAGTAGAGACGGGGTTTCGGCATGTTGGTCAGGCTGGTATTGAACTCCTGACCTCGTGAAGAATGCATCACTTTTCTAAGGTTTTAATAATCATAATATTCAGGACCTTCAATGTGCCAGGCAAAGTGTTAGGAAAGTTTTATCCATTTTCTCTTATGTGCTAAGCAGTCCTACTAGCTGCTTCATCCTGGAAATATAGTTGGGGAGACAGAACTCCAACTGTGTGTTTAACATCTCTTGATTCCCAGGAGCCTACAGCTCCTCATGTCCAAAATGAAACATGTCTCTCTTCTCCCCATGTTTTGACCCACCCTGCAGCACTCCCACTGCCAGAAAAATCAAACAAAAAAACACACACACAACCATTGTGCGTTTCCTCTCAGGGAGTGCCAGAAACCATCCAGTTTATGCCAGAAACCTGGGAGTCAACCTTGCCCCTTCTCTGCTTAACCCCATAAATCTGACACCAAGAATCCTGTCAACTCCTCTTACATCTTTCCTTGCCATTTTTTCTGGCCCCATTGCCTCCACCCTATTCCATTTCATTATTTTCCTGCCTTTTCTATTGTTGAAGCCTCCAAACTGGCCTACATCTCTGAGCTGGCCTTCCTGCCCCTCCTCCACTGGTCCATTTAATCTGCCATCAGAGGGAATGTTTCTTCTAATATGCAAATATGATTATATTGCTTTCTTGGGTAAATGCTTCAGCAGCCTGTTACATTCTTTCAATTTCTTGAACTGAAAGTAGTCTCTTTAGCTCTTAAATATGCAATTTCTTCTTTCTTGATTATTTTCCTCCTCTTAGTCTAGCCAACTTTCATTCCTCCTGCAGACTTCAGCTTAAATAGCCTACATTTGTTGAGGTTTATGGTTGTCTGTCTGCATGGGATGTCCACGATGGCAGGGACTATGAGAGACTTGTTCAGACTCTAACATCTGACTCAGTGGCCGGACACCGTGGCTCACGCCTATAATCCCAGCACTTTGGGAGGCCGAGCTGGGTGGATCACGAGGTCACGAGATCGAGACCATCCTGGTCAACAAGTTGAAACTCTGTCTCTACTAAAAATACAAAAATTAGCTGGGCATGGTGGTGCACACCTGTAGTCCCAGCTACGCAGGAGGCTGAGGCAGGAGAATTGCTTGAAACCACGAGGCAGAGGTTGCGGTGAGCCAAGATTGTGCCATTGCACTCCAGTCTGGGTAACAACAGAGAAACTCTGTCTCAAAAACAAAAACAAAAACATCTCACTCAGAGTTGGTGCTCAGTGTCTACCTGTTGAATGAATAGTATAGGGGAGAAAAAACATTTTTTCTCTACCCTCTGAGGTTCAGTGGCTGGGCCCTGCAAAATAAACTGATGAGAGATATATTATCAGGAAGGTTTATGCATAAATGTAAAGAAGTGGTTTAGACCAGGGGGCTCATATGCCATTTTCACAAAGAGTAAAAATTGTGGAGAAGTAACTAGACAAAGGTAGGGGAATGCTTCTTGGGTAAATTGTAGGAAGGTAAATATATGGGGAAGCTAGCAGAAGATAAGGGTTATTCAGTAAGGTTTGTTATGTGGACTCAAGTTGGTGCCTTCCCCATTAGTAAGGGTTGCTCTCCTTTTCCTGGTACTGGAGAGGAAGACACATTTACAAATGGATATTTATTACCTATACATAGGAAAATTTATGCCCTGCATTTATACAAAAATAGGGAAGGCAAAGAGCAAATTGGTTTCAGCTCAAAACAATTGTTACACAAAAGTGGCATATTTAGGGAGGGCATAGGCTGATCCTCTTCAAAAGGAATTAAGTTGCTTGTTTCTTATCATGATTATGAGAGTGACTTTGAATTAATTCCTGCTTTTGAAAGTACATTTAATTCTCAGCTGTTTTTGCTTTTGAATGCAGTTTGGGAGAGCCCCTGTGACTGTGCAAGTGGAGCGCAGCTGTGTGGATGCCCCAGCATGGATGAGTACATGGTCCTGAGAGGGACTGGGGAGGGCTCCTTCGGCAGAGCTCTTTTGGTTCAGCACGAAAGCAGTAATCAGATGTTTGCCATCAAAGAAATAAGGCTTCCCAAGGTCACTACTAAAGAAATTAGCTCACTTTGAAAGTATACACGCAATGTGTATAAAAGAATAAGTTTTTTGCCGGGCATGCTGACTCACACCGGTAATCCCAGCACTTTGGGAGGTGGAGGCGGATAGATCACCTGAGGTCAGGAGTTTGAGACCAGTCTAGCCAATATGGGAAAACCTGTCTGTAGTAAAAATAATTTTAAAAAATTAGCCAGGTATGGTGGTATGCACCTGTAGTCCCAGCTATTTGGGAGGCTGAGGCAGGAGAATCGCCTGAACCTGGGAGGCAGAGGTTGCAATGAGCCAAGATCACGCCACTGCACTCCAGCCTTGGTGACAAAGCGCGACTGTAAATAAATAAATACACTTCTGAGATTTAACATGGAATTTCTCCTTCATGCAAAAGATGTAATTGGTTTATTCATTAGCTTTACAAGGGCTCAATATATTATTTTTTTTAAATTTTTTATTGCATTTTAGGTTTTGGGGTACATGTGCAGAACATGTAAGACAGTTGCATAGGTACACACATGGCAGTGTGTTTTGCTTCCTTTCTCCCCTTCACCCACATTTGGCATTTCTCCCCAGGATATCCCTCCCCAGCTCCCCACCCCCCGCGGGCCCTCCCCTTTCCCCCCCAATAGACTCAAGTGTTTAGTACTTCCCTCCCTGTGTCCATGTGTTCTCATTTTTCATCACCCGCCTATGAGTGAGAATATGCGGTATTTCATTTTCTGTTCTTGTGTCAGTTTGCTGAGAATGATGTTCTCCAGATTCATCCATGTCCCTACAAACGACAGGAACTCATCATTTCTGATTGCTGCATAATATTCCATGGTGTATATGTGCCACATTTTCCCAATCCAGTCTATCATTGATGGGCATTTGGGTTGATTCCAGGTCTTTTCTATTGTAAACAGTGCTGCAATGAACATTCGTGTACATGTGTCCTTATAGTAGAACGATTTATAGTCCTTTGGGTATATACTCAATAATGGGATTGCTGGGTCAAATGGAATTTCTATTTCTAAGGCCTTGAGGAATCGCTATACTGTCTTCCACAATGGTTGAACTAATTTACACTCCCACCAACAGTGTAAAAGTGTTCCTTTTTCTCCACATCCTCTCCAGCATCTGTTGTCTCGAGATTTTTTAATGATCACCATTCTAACTGGCGTGAGATGGTATCTCAATGTGGTTTTGATTTGCATCTCTCTAATGACCAGTGATGATGAGCATTTTTTCATATGATTGTTGGCCTCATATATGTCTTCTTTTGTAAAGCGTCTGTTCATATCCTTTGCCCATTTTTGAATGGGCTTGTTTTTTTCCTGTAAATCTGTTTGAGTTCTTTGTAAATTCTGGATATCAGCCCTTTGTCAGATGGGTAAACTGCAAAAATTTTTCCCATTCTGTTGGTTGCTGATTCACTCTAGTGACTGTTTCTTTTGCCGTGCAGAAGCTGTGGAGTTTCATTAGGTCCCATTTGTCTATTTTGGCTTTTGTTGCCAATGCTTTTGGTGTTTTGTTCATGAAGTCCTTGCCTACTCCTATGTCCTGGATGGTTTTGCCTAGATTTTCTTCTAGGGTTTTTATGGTACCAGGTCTTCTGTTTAAGTCTTTAATCCATCTGGAGTTAATTTTAGTGTAAGGTGTCAGGAAGGGGTCCAGTTTCTGCTTTCTGCACATGGCTAGCCAGTTTTCCCAACACCATTTATTAAACAGGGAATCCTTTCCCCATTGCTTGTTTTTGTCAGGTTTATCAAACATTGTATGGTTGTAGATATGTTGTGTTGCCCCCGATGCTCTGTTTTGTACCATTGGTCTATATCTCTGTTTTGGTACCACTACCATGCTGTTTTGATTACTGTAGCCTTGTAGTATAGTTTGAAATCTGGTAGTGTGATGCCCCCAGCTGTGTTCTTTTTGCTTAGAATTGACTTGGCTATGCGGGCTCTCTTTTGGTTACATATGAAGTTCATGGTGGTTTTTTCCAGTTCTGTGAAGAAAGTCAGTGGTAGCTTGATGGGGATAGCATTGATTCTGTAAATTACTTTGGGCAGTATAGCCATTTTCACGATATTAATTCTTCCTAACCATGAACATGGAATGTTTCTGCATCTGTTTGTGTCCTCTCTTATTTCATTGAGGATTGGTTTGTAGTTTTCCTTGAAGAGGTCCTTTACGTTCCTTGTGAGTTGTATTCCTAGGTATTTTATTCTTTTTGTAGCAATTGTGAATGGCAGTTCGTTCTTGATTTGGCTCTCTTTAAGTCTGTTATTGGTGTAGACGAATGCTTGTGATTTTTGCACATTGATTTTATATCCTGAGACTTTGCTGAAGTTGCTTATCAGTTTCAGGAGTTTTTGGCCTGAGGAGATGGGGTCTTCTAGGTATACTATCATGTCATCTGCAAATAGAGACAATTTGGCTTCCACCTTTCCTATTTGAATACCCTTTATTTCTTTTTCTTGCCTGATTGCTCTGGCTAGAACTTCCAATACTATATTGAATAGGAGTGGTGAAAGAGGGCATCCTTGTCTAGTGCTAGATTTCAAAGGGAATGCTTCCAGTTTTTGCCCATTCAGTATGATATTGGCTGTTGGCTTGTCGTAAATAGCTTTTATTACTTTGAGATACGTTCCACCAATACCAAGTTTACTGAGGGTGTTTAGCATAAAGTGCTGTTGAATTTTGTCGAATGCCTTCTCTGTGTCAATTGAGATAATCATGTGGTTTTTGTTTTTGGTTCTGTTTATGTGGTGAATTACGTTTATAGACTTGCGTATGTTGAACCAGTCTTGTATCCTCGTGATGAATCCTACTTGATCATGATGGATAAGTTTTTTGATTTGCTGTTGCAATCGGCTTGCCAATATTTTCTTGAAGATTTTTGCATCTATGTTCATCATGGATATTGGCCTGAAGTTTTCTTTTCTTGTTGGGTCTCTGCCGGGTTTTGGTATCAGGATGATGTTGGTCTCATAAAATGATTTGGGAAGGATTCCCTCTTTTTGGATGATTTGGAATAGTTTCAGAAGGAATGGTACCAGCTCCTCTTTGGGTGTCTGGTAGAATTCGGCTGTGAACCCATCTGGACCTGGGCTTTTTTTGTGTGGTAGGCTCTTAATGGCTGCCTCGACTTCTGACCTTGTTGTTGGTCTATTGATAGTTTCAGCTTCCTCCTGGTTTAGGCTTGGGAGGACACAGGAGTCCAGGAATTTATCCATTTCTTCCAGGTTTACTAGTTTATGTGCATAGAGTTGTTTGTAATATTCTCTGATGATGGTTTGAATTTCTGTGGAATCTGTGGTGATTTCCCCTTTATCATTTTTTATTGCATCTATTTGGTTGTTCTCTCTTTCCTTTCTTATCAATCTAGCTAGTGGTTTGTCTATTTTGTTGATCTTTTCAAAAAACCAGCTCTTGGATTTATTGATTTTTTGAAGGGTTTTTCGTGTCTCAATCTCCTTCAGTTCAGCTCTGATCTTAGTTATTTCTTGTCTTCTGCTGGGTTTTGAGTTTTTTTGATCTTGCTCCTCTAGCTCTTTCAATTTTGACGATAGGGTGTCAGTTTTGGATCTCTCCATTCTCCTCATATGAGCACTTATTGCTATATATTTTCCTCTAGAGACTGCTTTAAATGCGTCCCAGAGATTCTGGCATGTTGTGTCTTTGTTCTCATTGGTTTCAAAGAACTTCTTTATTTCTGCCTTTATTTCATTGTTTATCCAGTCAACATTCAAGAGCCAGTTGTTCAGTTTCCATGAAGCTGTGTGGTTCTGGGTTGGTTTCTGAATTCTGAGTTCTAACTGGATTGCACTATGGTCTGAGAGACTGTTTGTTATGATTTCAGTTGTTTTGCATTTGCTGAGGAGTGCTTTACTTCCAATTATGTGATCAATTTTAGAGTAGGTGTGATGTGGTGCTGAGAAGAATGTATATTCTGTGGATTTGGGGTGGAGCGTTCTGTAAATGTCTATCAGGTTTGCTAGTTCCAGGTCTGAGTTCAAGCCCTGGATATCCTTGTTGATTTTCTGTCTGGTTGATCTGTCTAATATTGACAGTGGAGTGTTAAGTCTCCCACTATTATTGCATGGGAGTCTAAGTCTCTTTGTAAGTCATTAAGAACTTGCCTTATGTATCTGGGTGCTCCTGTATTGGGACCATATATGTTTAGGATCGTTAGCTCTTCTTGTTGTATCGATCCTTTTACCATTATGTAATGGCCTTCTTTGTCTCTTTTGATCTTTGTTGCTTTAAAGCCTATTTTATCAGAGATCAGAATTGCAACTCCTGCTTTTTTTTGCTCTCCATTTGCTTGGTAAATCTTCCTCCATCCCTTTATTTTGAGCCTTTATGTATCCTTGCATGTGAGATGGGTTTCCTGGATACAGCACACTGCTGGGTTTTGGTTTTTTATCCAATTTGCCAGTCTGTGTCTTTTGATTGGTGCATTTAGCCCATTTACATTTAGGGTTAATATTGTTATGTATGAATTTGATACTGCCATTTTGATGCTAGCTGGCTGTTTTGCCCATTAGTTGTTGTAGATTCTTCATTATGTTGATGCTCTTTAGCATTTAGTGTGATTTTGGAATGGCTGGTACTGGTTGTTCCTTTCTATGTGTAGTGCCTCTTTTAGGAGCTCTTGTAAAGCAGGCCTGGTGGTGACAAAATCCCTGAGTACTTGCTTGTTCGCAAAGGATTTTATTTTTCCTTCACTTCTGAAGCTCAGTTTGGCTGGATATGAAATTCTGGGTTGAAAGTTCTTTTCTTTAAGGATGTTGAATATTGGCCCCCACTCTCTTCTGGCTTGTAGAGTTTCTGCTGAGAGATATGCTGTGAGTCTGATGGGCTTCCCTTTGTGGGTGATCCAACCTTTCTCTCTGGCTGCCCCTTAGTATTTTCTCCTTTATTTCAACCCTGGTGAATCTGACGATTATGTGCCTTGGGGTTGCTTATCTTGTGGAATATCTTTGTGGTGTTCTCTGTATTTCCTGCATTTGAGTGTTGGCCTGTCTTGCTAGGTGGGGGAAATTTTCCTGGATAATATCCTGAAGAGTATTTTCCAGCTTGGATTCATTCTCTTCATCACATTCTGGTACACCTATCAAACGTAGGTTAGGTCTCTTCACATAGTCCCACATTTCTTGGAGACTTTGTTCATTCCTTTTTGCGCTTTTTTTCTCTAATCTTGGTTTCTCGTTTTATTTCATTGGGTTGATCTTCAATTTCTGATATTCTTTCTTCTGCTTGGTCAATTCGGCTGTTGAAACTTGTGCATGCTTCGCGAAGTTCTCGTATTGTGTTTTTCAGCTCCTTCAATTCATTCATACTCCTCTCTAAGTTATCCATTCTTGTTATCATTTCCTCGATTCTTTTTTCAAGGCTCTTAGTTTCTTTGCATTGATTTAAAACATGTTCTTTTAGCTCACAAAAGTTTCTCATTATCCACCTTCTGAAGTCTAATTCCGTCATTTCGTCACAGTCATTCTCTGTCCAGCTTTGTTCCCTTGCTGGTGAGGAGTTTTAGTCCTTTGTAGGAGTCGAGGTGTTCTGGTTTAGGGTGTTTTCCTCCTTTTTGCGCTGGTTTCTTCTTATCTTTGTGGATTTATCCACCTGTCGTCTGAGTAGTTGCTGACTTTTCGATTTGGTCTCTGAATGGATGCCCAGATTGTTGATGATGAAGTATTTCTGTTACTTGGTTTTCCTTCTACCAGTCTAGACCCTCCGCTGTTTGACTGCTGAGGTCCACTCAAGGCCCTGCTTGTCTGGGGTGCACCTATAGCGGCTGCGGAACAGTGAGGGATGCTACCAGTTTCTTTTTCTGCTATCTTTGTCCCAGAATGATGCCTGCCAAATGTCAGTCTTCTGGATATAGAGGGGTCAGGGAGCTGCTTGAGGAGACAGTCTGTACTTTATAGGAGCTCAAGTGCTGATCTGTGAGCTCTGTTGTTCATTCAGGGCTGTTGGGCTGCTACATTTAATTCTGCTGCAGCAGAACTCATTAAAAAAAACCCTTTTTTTCTCAGATGCTCTGTCTCGGGGGGTTGGGGTTTTCTTTATGAGTGTCTGTTGCGCTGTCCTGCCCAGCTAGGAGGCAGTCTAGTCACTATTTGCCTGCTGAGGCTCCGCCCTGCTGGTGTGAGGTCCACCCTGTTGCTGCAGGCTCTGCCCTGCTGCTGCGGTCTCTGCCCTGCTGCCACGGGCTACGCCCTGTGGCGGAGTCTCTCTGTTGTGGCGGGTTGCCTTGGCAACAGCAGGCTGCATCAGCAATGGGAGTGTATCTCAGTAGGGGCGGGTTGCCTCAGTAATGGCAAACGCCCCTCCCCCACCGAGCTGCACTGTCCTGGGTTCAGCTGTGCCCGCAGTGAAACTCTCCACCTGGAGCTTTGGAATCGCCGTTTTGTTTGTCCCACTGCCCTGGCCCAAACATCGTTTCCCTGGAATCTCCTGGCCTGGCTCACTGTCCAAGTCCTGTTCAATCAGATGGATATGCCAATCTGCCCTCTCAAGTCTCAGATTGCCGGTTCAACAGGGGCCCCGGACCAGTGTGCTTTGTGCGGAGCACTGTGGAGCGCTGCTGCACTGCAGTGCCGGCCGCTGGCTGCACCAGCCAAAACCACTGTGCTGGCGTCCCGCATCTCTTTTATACCTGGGAATTTCCCCGTTCTGTGGGCAACAAAGATCCGTCTGGATATGCAGCCCTGACTCACCCTCCACGCATTCACCAAGAGCTTCAATCCTAGGTTGTTCTCACCGTGCCATTGAGTCGGTCTCCGGGCTCAATATATTATATGTGGTTCTTTGGATATTGTAATTAACAATGGGAGAAAAATAGTAACCGTTTTGGTGGTGATTATTGATAACTTTATTTCAGCGAACAATTGGTAATAATTTCCACTTTTGTATACCTAATGGTGTAGGAAATCCTTGCCAAAGCAACTCAGGTGCAATATTAATGAAAAAGGATTATAAAAATACAATGAAGAACAAATGCTAACCTTTGGTACCAGGAAATCTACTCTGTGGATCAGTTTATAGGTTTTATTTTTTTGTAGACTATAACTATGTATCATAGTTGTCCTATGAAATAATTCATTACATGGAGACTATGTAATAATATTTTGGATCAATTTTAAAAAAGACATTCTAATAAAGTTCTCAGAGTGCTGGGTATTTTTTTCCCACTGGATTCTTGACGTCCTTCAGTGATTTTCAGACTTGAGTGGGCATCATAATCATCTGGAGGGCTTGTTAAAACACTCATTGTTGTCCTCCACCCCCAGGCTTCTGACTGAGTAAGTCCAGGTGAGCTTGTAAATTTGCATTTTTAACAAGGTCCCAGTTCGTGCTGCTGCCGCTGGTCTGAGAACCCTTGTGTTACTATGCAATCAATGACAGTTTCTTTTCTTTCTTTTTTTAAATGTATAGAAGGGGTCTTGATCTGTTGCCCAGGCTGGAGTGTAGTGGCACGATCATAGCTCACTGCAGCTTGAAGTCCTGGACTGAAATGATCTTCCTACCTCAGTCTCCGCAGTGGCGGGGACTCTAGATGTAGGTGTAGTATAGTCCCAGCCACTGGGGAGGGTAGTCGCCACACCCAACTAACCATGGCAATTTCTTTGTTCTTTTCTTTTCTTTCTTTCTTTTTTTTTTTTTTTAGACAGATTTTTGCTCTTGTTGCCCAGGCTCAAGTGCAATGGCATGATCTTGGCTCACTGCAACCTATGCCTCCCAGTTCAAGTGATTCTCCTGCCTCAGCCTCCCGAATGCTGGGATTACAGGCATGCACTACCATGCCTGGTTAATTTTATATTTTTAGTAGAGAAGGAGTTTCTGCCTGTTGGTCAGGGTGGTATCAAACTCCCTCTCAGGTGATCTGCCCACTTCAGCCTCCCGAAGTGCTGGGATTACAGGTGTGAGCCACTGTGCCCGGCCAGCAATTTCTTTGATTGTAAGATAAGTCACTTAGAATTTCATCCTTACAGAGTAAGTTAGGGATAAGCAGTTTTGGAAACTTACTTTGCATGCCATCTTTGTTCATCCTTGATGCAGTAATACACCAGCATATTCTTTTTTTATCTGGACCAGTCGACTCATAAGTGATATAGCAAGTCAAAACATGAATCCCCCCTTTTTTCTTTTACGATAAAAAAAATTTCTTTTTCTTTTTTCTACATTACAAGTAATCAAGCAAAAGGTATAGTATTTTTGATGGTATACTGGCTCTCTCATATAAGCCTAAGCATCTCTAAGTCAGATAATGCTTAGGATGATATTAAAACTAACATTCTGACTGTGTAAGGAATGAAAAAAGAATAAAAATACAATGAAGGGCTCAGCTCAAGCATGAAAATAGAGCCAGAGTTGAAAAATCACCAGGCGTTTTTTCTTGTCATTTGACAAACTTAAGTTGAGTCAAAGTGTTATAAAACTGGATCTGGCATTGAAGTATTATATAAACTATATTATTGTAAAGTTATCTATTTTAAAATGCAGTATTAAATTTATGCTTTTTAAAAATGTTTTTCTAGTCTTTCTCCAGTACACAGAATTCTAGGAAGGAGGCTGTTCTTTTAGCCAAAATGAAACACCCCAATATTGTTGCCTTCAAAGAATCTTTTGAAGGTAAATATGAATTCCCCACGTGCATTTCAGAATTTGATTTGTAGCCACTACAGCTTTTCTAAAGAGCTGTGTCTGTTTTAGCTGAAGGACACTTGTATATTGTGATGGAATACTGTGATGGAGGGGATCTAATGCAGAAGATTAAACAGCAAAAAGGAAAGTTATTTCCTGAAGACATGGTAAGAGATTGACTTACATAGTTTCTCTCAAGGTGTAGAAGCCACTTTTCTCATAAACTTGTATAAGTTAAAACAAAAGCCTTGATATCTCTAATTACCTGAGAAGGTAGATAGAAATGATGGACTTCTTCATTGGTGTTACCACTTAGTGTCCTCAGAATACCGCTACCTGAAATGGTTTTAGGAAGTAAAATATATAGGTTATAAATTATTAAGAAATAAAATTTGCATGTTTAGAATAATTTCAAGAATGTATCATCTAATTTTGCACTAGATATTTAAAATCTTGATTTTTATCGTACTGAAATTTTAGAAGGCAGGTCTATTTTATTTTGTATACTAAAACATCAGAAGAATGCAGCTTGCCATTTCTGTTTCTTGGGGTTACCTATTCTCAATCTTTTTTCTTCTAAAGCTTGAAGTGGGCCCTACAGTCTGAGACTTGCTGCCTTTTTAGTGGAAAATTGCATACTAAACATTTTTAAATGAATTGGCTATGGAAAACATTTAAATTGCTCCAGTGAGGCTTAATTTGATTTAGGTTATAGCATGTTATAAAAGTATATAAATAAATGTAAATAAGTATTCTTTATTTAGAAATTGTATTGTTAAAAATATGGGTTCCATAGAAGGAAGTTAACCTTGGCTTCAGCTGGAAAATCTCCGTAGCAAAAGTGAAAACAAAAATCAGTTTGACATTTAATTGTTGGCATGAAAACACCTAGAAATTCTGGGTACTGTTGACTTTGGATTTATAAGTAGGAACTATTGACCTCGAAGGTTTATTTATAATACAATATTATTTATAATATAATGAAATCTTTTTTTTTTTTTTTTTTTTAATTTTTCGTTGAAGACGGGGTTTCACCATGTTGGTCAGGCTGGTCTTGAACTCTCGACCTCAGCTGATCCGCCTGCCTTGGCCTCCAAGGTGCTTGGATTACAGGCGTGAGCCACCACGCCTGGCCATAATGAAATCTTTTAATGTTACGCTATGGATATTCTGCAAAAGTAAATGAAAATCCAACATAATGATTACACTAGAAAAGCTGTAGTGTATTTCTTATTGGTGAACTACCTTTATATAAGCATTTAAGAAATACTTTTATTTGGTTGAATATAAGAAAACTATAGTGGAAGTTTTACTAAAATAAGTTGCTGTTTGGATCATGCATAAGATGATGGAATATGGGAATCACAGCTTTTCTGAATTTCTCCAAGTGACACTGAATCTTAGTTGAACTATGTAACTTATAGCAGTCTGTTCTCACATTATGTAAAATTCTGGTCGACTAGGGCCTAGAGATGATTCTTTGGAATTTTAGGTTAACATGAGCCAGTTACTGCATTTTTGAAGATTTTGCATACCTTTTTCTTACAGATACTTAATTGGTTTACCCAAATGTGTCTTGGAGTAAATCACATTCACAAGAAATGTGTGCTACATAGAGATATCAAGTCCAAGGTGAGTGGAGTGCATTTTTGGACTGAAAAACAAAAAGTAGGCTGGGTGTGGTGGCTCATGCCTATAATCCCAGAACTTTGGGATGCTGAGGCGGGTGGATCGTGAAGTCAGAAGTTTAAGACCAGCCTGGCCAACATGGTAAAAACCTGTCTCTACTAAAAATACAAAAATCAATGGGGCGCAATGGCATGTGCCTCTAATCCCAGCTACTCCGGAGGCTGAGGCAGGAGAATTGCTTGAACCTGGGAGGCGGAAGTTGCAGTGAGATCAGATTGCACCACTGCATTCCAGCCTGGGTGGCAGAGTGAGACTCCATCTCAAAAAAAATACCATTTAATTCATTTGCTGTGTTATCCCATGCATCTTGGAACATTTTTGTTTAGTTTAGAAATATTTAACATCAGGAGCAGGAGGTCACACCTGTAATCCCAGCACTTTGGGAGGCCGAAGGCCGAGGAGGGCGGATCATGAGGTCAGGAGTTCGAGACCAGCCTGACCAACATGGTGAAACCCCATTTCTACTAAAAATACAAAAATTAGCCAGGCACAGTGACGCATGCCTGTAGTCCCAGTTACTCGGGAGGCTGAGGTGGGAGAATTTCTTGAACCCAGAAGGCGTAGGTTGCAATGAGCCAAGATCACATCACTGCACTCCAGCCTGGATGACAGAGTGAGACTGTCTCAAAAAAAAAAAAAAAAAGAAAAAAGAAAAAAAACCCCGTCAGCCCAATATTTATTTATTTAATTTTTGAATGAAAATGTCCCCCACCTTTATTAAAATATAATTGACAAAAATTATGTATATTTATGATGTACACATGATGTTTTATATATTTATACACATATACACATTGTAAAATTATTAAATCAAGGTAATATACCTCTATCACCTCACATACTTACTATTTTTTGTGGTGAGGACATTTAAGATCTACTCGCAGCACTTTTTAAGTATTCTATGCATTATTAATTGTAGTCACTATGTTGTACAGCAGATCACTGGAACGTACTTGTCCTAACTGAAACTTTGTACCCTTTGACTTAATATTTTTGCTAACCAAATAAAGTAATACCTGAGAAAAAGTCATTGAAATCTCTATAGTAGTACAGTCATGCATCACTCAACGACAGGGGGATAAGTGCTCAGAAATGCATCCCAAGGTGATTCTGTCGTGTGAACATCATAGAGTGCACTTAACAAACCTAGATGGTATAGCCTACTGCACCTAGGCTATCGAGTGCAGCCTTTTGCTTCCAGGCTACAAACCTGTACAGCCTGTTACTATCCTGAATTCCTTGGGCAATTGTAATACAATGCTAACTATCTATGTATTTAAACAGAAAAAGTACAGTAAAAATATGGTATTAGTCTTATGGAACCACTGACATATATGCCATCCGTTGTTGACTGAAATGTGGCATGTGACTGTGTATAGTAATGTGTCCTAGCTCTCTTTTAGTGACCACTTGCTAAGCCCACGTGTTCCCAGATGGAAAAGGGTTGACATCTGGGCCTGCCATGTGGCATCACCCTGACAGATTCTCACTGGGTAGATTGGGTCTGCTGATAAAACCTAAAACTTGCTTGTGGCCGGGCGCGGTGGCTCACGCCTATAATCCCAGCACTTTGGGAGGCCGAGGCGGGTGGATCACGAGGTCAAGAGATCGAGACCATCCTGGTCAACAAGGTGAAACCCCGTCTCTACTAAAAATACAAAAATTAGCTGGGCATGGTGGTGCGTGCCTGTAGTCCCAGCTACTCGGGAGGCTGAGGCAGGAGAATTGCTTGAACCCAGAAGGTGGAGGTTGCATTGAGCCGAGATCATGCCATTGCACTCCAGTCTGGGTAACAACAGCGAGACTCCATCTCAAAAATAAATAAATAAATAATAAAAAATAAAACTTGCTTGTTAGATTTCGAAGCACTCATCTGAGTTTCCAAGCAGGGGAATGTGTAGCTGTCAAGACGGGAACTTGGTGTCTTGTGCTTCACTCTGGGACTCAGCTGTCAGCATTTCTACCCTTAATCTCCATCATCAGCAGGCTTTGAAAGACACCTTATCTGCCTCATGTTGGATGATGGAAAACATAATCTGAGTTCTTTTTAAATGCAGAATATCTTCCTCACTCAAAATGGAAAAGTGAAATTGGGAGACTTTGGATCTGCCCGTCTTCTCTCTACGTATGTATCTCTGTTCTATCGTAGTGACAGTGAGCAGAACATCCATTTTCAGGAATGCTCTGTAGTCATTCTTTGCCTTTTTATGATTTTAGTCCGATGGCATTTGCTTGTACATACGTGGGAACACCACATTATGTGCCTCCAGAAATTTGGGAAAACCTGCCTTATAACAATAAAAGGTGAGTGGTGCATATTTGATGCAAGGGTGCCCATTTGGTGTCAGGCATTGTAGCCTGCAAATGATGCTAGACTCTGACGTCACTTCAAAGCAGACGCATGGATCATTTGATTTCTAAAAAGTATATCTGAAAGCAATGTGGAATCTATATTGTTAATCTATATTGCGAGGCTGCTAGATGAAAGTAATAGTTTTCCAATTTTATTAATTATAGCTGAGAGGAGCAAATGCTGAAAAAAGGCTCGTCATTTCTAGGGATTTGTACAAATTATATCAGTGGTTCCCTGACTTTGCTGCTCCCACTTTAAGAATCCCAAAGGTCATTGTTGTGTCTACACTAATTAAATCAAAATGCCAAAGGATAGGAAGCAGGCACCAGTCATTTTTCAAGATCACTGGGTGATTCCAATGCACAGCAACATTTGAGAACCAATAGATTGTGTCATTGAGTTAGTATTTACAGGGATAGATTATAAGCAGTTGGTTGATAGATAAATTGATTGCAGAAGGTTAGCATGAAGATCTTAATGATTTAAAATGCAGTATTTTTTCTGAATATATGTGCCCATCGTGGGGATGGATGTGCAGGAAAGATTGGAAGTAGACCTGTAAGAAAGGACATGGAAATCACCTACATTTCCCAACTGCTAATAACATTTTGCTGTTTTTTTCTTCATCCATTCACTTTTCCCCCTAAAACTAGTTGATATATTTTATGTATAATTTGCTTTTGTCATTTAATATCATAATAGTCATTTCCTCACATACTTAAACTCTTCATAAATTTTCTAATGGCTGCATATATTTCACCATATGGCCCTTCCAAAATTTACTTAGTAATTCCTTTGTTGTTGGCCTTATGTTTCTAGATTTCAGTATCATAAGCAGTGCTGTGATTAACGTACCTTTTGTGTATAAAGAGGTCCTTGTTTTGTGTCACATTCTTGGCATGGATTCCTAGAAGCAGAAACACTTAAAGGCTGTGTTACTTTTTGCTGACTTGCTTTCTGAAAAGGGTATGACAGTCTGTACTAAATAGGTTTCTTTAAAAGTAGAATTGACTGAATCAAAACAAAACAACTCTACCAGGACTTATTGGGACAATTGGGGAAATGTGGATATACAGTAAATATTAAATAATGTTATTGAATTGAGATTAAATTGCTCAGATGTGATAACAGTATTGTGTTTCTGAGGGAAAGGGTACGTCTTTGTTCTTAGGAGATCCATGCTGATGTATACGGGGATGAAGTGTTCCATACCTGCAACCTTTTTTCAGGAGGTTCAGATAGGTATAGAGGAGGGACATTAGCCCGCAAACATGGCCAATGGGAATGATTGCAGGACCTAGATAAGGACATGTGGACATTTGCAACTTTTCTGTTTCAAAAAAATTTTTTTTTTGAGACAGAGTCTTGCTCTATTGCCCAGGCTGGAGTCCAGTGGTGTGACTGTAGCTGGGGGAGGGAGCGGGGACTTCCCAGAGACGCTCCCAGTTCTCCAGTCCGAGGTCCTTGGCTCCTCTTACCCCAGAGAATGGGGAAAGGGGCCCAGGAGGAGCGGTGAGCTTGTCGTTCAAATAAATAGCGTGGACCCAAAGAGTTTTTGCAGAAAAACCGATTTATTAGGCAGAGAGAGAGAGAAAGAAAGCTCCCACGCTGTTGTGGGATGGGAATTCGGAGGGGATATCCGTTTAGAGAAGGAGCAGCGGATTTTTAACCCTGGAGTTATCCCTCATTCATGTTCTCGTCCAATTTGAGAGAAGTTCTTTCAAACTTCCTTTGGAGTGATTGATTTGACTCTGATACCGGATTGGCTGCTTGGTCCGCAACAGAGCCTCCTCCTCCCGGAGCTAAATTCTATCTCAATTTACTTTAGAACATTAGGATTTATAAATGAAAGTAATTTGCTCTTCTTTTAACAATAGTTTGTTGTGCGCTAGCCTTTAATTTCATGTGAGAACCTATTCTACATTTATTTAGACATTTTAATTAGTTTGATTATTATTTCATCTTACACAAGGTTGGTGTCTTAAATCGAATAATGTCTGACCAAGTAAAATGGCTTAATTAAAATGTTTTTGCAGTCAATCAATACCTAAATGAATAGAGCAGAGTAAGAAAAATCTAAGTATTAGTTTCAAATATGCCTTTTTCCTTTCTAGGATATGAGGGTATGTTCTAATGTACTCCCAATCAGCATATAGGTAGTAATCCCACTAGTAGAATATCTTAATCAATTCATTTCCAAATATATTACACATGTATTCCATAAGGATTTTTCATAAATATATTTTAAAGAATATATTTGAAAATATTTTAAGAAGATTTTAAAATATAACTGAATCATATTTAATAATTAAAAGGAATTATAGGTAATGAATGTTTATAGAATAGTCATTCTGCTACAGTCAATAAAACTGCATAGATATTTAAGACATTATATCTACTTCCCAGGAGCTAATGCTGTGGAAAAACATATGTGCTATGCTAATTCTTTGGCACACTATTTCATATCTATTTATCTCTTGCTGTGTAACCAAACCCTCTATATTTGTGGATTAAAATGGGGATCCACAAATTATATCTCATGTGTCATATCTAGTTTGAGTCCTGTTTTTGTGTGTCCTGTAAGCTCTTTTTATTTAAAATTTTTTATTAAAAAAGCAAAGAATATGTGACAGAGACTTAATATAGTTTGTAATAACGAAAATATTTATTTTCTAGTCCTTTAAAGAAAAAAAAAATTGTGCTGTCCCTGGCTTAAAATAACACTTTATTATTCAGATTCTGTGGACTGACTGATCAGACGTTAATTTTTGCTTTGATTCTTTCATTTGGTGGCAGTCAGCTCTTAACTGGGCTGCATCTGTTGAGCTTTACTGACAGTTCATTTACATGGCTGGCAAATGATACTGTTGTTGCCTGGGAACTCAACGAGGACTGTTTACAGGAACACCTGCACTTGGCCTTTCTATGTGGCTTGCATTTCATATTCTCACAGCATGGCATCTGGATTTTTAAATTGGGAGTCCTAATGGTAAACATTCTAAGAGATATAAAAGCTACAAGGCTTTCATATCTAGTCTTGGAAATAATGAAGTGTAATTTCTGCCTTAACCTACTGAGATACGTCAGCTAAGACTCAACGTGGGAAGTGTCCACCACATTGCAAACTATATGCCAGAACGTGTTCATTGGTGGGGCAGGGGATTAGCATCTTTGGAGAGTAACTTCCACAGTACCCCTCTGTGGATCCCAATGATTTTCTTCCCTCCTGAGTACAAAATATACTGAGCCCCTCTCAAGACTCCCAAAGTTTCATCTCATTATGTCATTGGGACCAGACTTAAATCTAGAATTTCATTATCTAAATCAAGTCCACATGTGAATAAGACTCCTCAAATAAGATGCTGTAAATTCAGAGACAATGTATCTGCTTCCCATGCACTTAGCATTGAATGGTGGGATGTGATTAGTGCCATAGACATGTCCATTCAAAATGTAAAATAGAAGGCAAATAGGAGTCCTGGTTCCATAGCAATTCTGAAATCCAGCTGGGCTCAGGTGGTAATTCACCCTGCTCTGGGTGAAGGAAATGTGTGCTGACTAGGGATCAGTTCTGTTTCTGGGATTTGTTTACTTTAGTTCTTAGCTCTATCCGCTGGGCTTTTGGCTACAGACTGAATTATTCTTTTCCATAAGAAATGCCAATGTTCACAGCTTAGTAGCTTTCACAGTCTGTTTCCTTTCCATAGAAATTGCAGGGACCTGAGGCATCTTTTTTTTTTTTAACTCTCATTTCCTTTAAGTACAAGTTGGTCCACTTATTAATTATTTTTTGTTCTTATGTATCAAATTGTAAATCTGCTACTGTAGACTAGATTCAAACCTGCACTTCATTCTAGACAATCAGTTCTCTACCTCTGTCACCTGTGAGGTTGCTGTGTCAGACCTTTATTCTTATACAAGAATTCTTATACTAAGAAGGCCCCTTAAGATCTTTAGAAAACATTTTATATAGCTGAGAGGGTCTAGGAGCCATGTCCTTGTTATTCTTAGAGGTCATTTTTTCCTAATTGAGAATGTCTACAAGGAACTGCCTTAAATCAATCTCCCCTCCCCTCCCCTCCCTTCCCTTCTCCTGTCCCTTCCCTCCCCTCCTCTGCCTTCTCCTTTCTCCCTTCCCTTCTTCTTTTCCTTCCTTTCCTTCCTTTCTTTTTTTGAGACAAGTTCTTTCTTTGTTACCCAGGCAGGAGTGCAGTAGGACAATTATAGCTCACTGCAGTCTCCACCTCCTAGGCTCAAGCAATCCTCCCACCTCAGCCTCCTGAGTAGCTAGGACCACAGTCACACACCACTACAACTGGATAAGATTTTTAATTTTTTACAGAGACAGGGTCTCACTGTGTTGCCCAGGCTGGTTTTGACCTCCTGGGTTCAAGCAATCCTTCCACCTCAACCTCCTGAGTAGCTAAAACCACAGGCACACACCACTACACCTGGCTAAGATCTTTAGTTTTTTGTATAGACAGGATCTCACTGTGTTGCCCAGGGTGGTCTTGAACTCCAGGATTCAAGTAATCCTCCCGCCTTAGCCTTAACAAAGAGTCTTTCTGAGGCTTTGTCAATCAGAAATCCATTTTATCAATGGAGCTCTGAATCTTTGCCCACATGCCATTTCTGACTTTCAGAACAGTTCACTGTCTGAAAAGACCAGGTACAAGAAAGTGTATTTTAAGCAATCAAGTTCTTGTTTCTTACATTTCTTTTAAATTTGGGTAAATAATTCTGTTTTCTGTAGCTCATCTTTCTCTATATGTGTCTTTCCATATGCAGCTAAAATAAACCATTTGGTACTTTTGATATTTTGCCTAGGAAAAAAATCTCTTCAACTGAACTAATAATCTCACTAGGTAAATTTTTGATTTCACAGGTAGTATGCCAAGTTGGGGACTAGTTAGAGCAGTCTACCCAGAGTACAGGCAATGAGTGGGTGCATTGTCTTTAGATAATTTAAAAATAATACTAAAACTAACAGATACTCTTCTCCGTGATGTCTCCATGAAATTCTAAACAACATCACTGAGAAAATGCTGCTTCCTGCTGGGCAGACTACTGTTGCTATTCTCTCCTGTGAATAGGTTGGGATGTCACTCTTGTAATATTGTTATATCAAATGATAAAAAGGATTTTGCAGATGTAATTAGTTCTCTAATCATCTGAGTTAATCAAAAGGGAGAGTATCTTGGGTGAGCCTGACATAATAGATGAGCTTCTAAAAGGGGGTCTAGAAGTTGGAGACAACAGTCAGACAGATATGCTACCAACATGGAAGAAGCATCCATCTACACTATGAATTGCCTATTAGAGATGTGATTACAGTTTGACGAGACCTTCAAGTGGGAGCCCAATCATGCTGAGCCTGAATTTCTGACCTGCAGCTATTGTGTAAATAACTGTTATTTGTGGTAATTTGTTACACAGCAATAGAAAACTAACACCTTTAGTTACATTTTGTCATTCTATGGTTTTCTGTGACATAACAGGAAATATAGAATGGCAGTAAGTTATAAAATTCAGTGCACTATCATATTAATAGTTACCGTATTAAGTGTAAATGTTTACAAAGTAGAAGAAAAGGGTTCTTGGAAAGAAATATACTGTTCTTTAGAAATACGGATGAGGAAGCAATTATTTATCCATGAAGATTTTGAGGCAAGCTGCATCATGTTGACATTTGTGCAAGGCCTTGAAGGATGAGCAACAGCTGGTCAGGCTGACAAAGGAAGAAAGAACATTCTAGACTGAACAGCATGGGTTGTCTCCCTGAATAAAAGTTGGTGCTTGGGATGATAAAAAGTAACAGACTGAACATTAAGGTGATATTAATTTACAGTTAACTTCACTACCAAGAGTGTAATTTCAGATGAGACAATGTTTTGTTTGAGTTGATAGATATAAATCAGTTCTTTTAAACATGTGGACAACAACTCAGAAGAAAAACATTGGGAAAGATTAAAGTCAGGATTTTGTGTTTCTGGACTTTCTAATTGGTTACTACCACCTAAAGTGTGAAGCTGGGACAGGTCAGAGAGTTTGAAAATATAACTCAACTCAATTGAAAAGAAGGGACTCCTTCGTAACTCATTTTATGAAGCCAGTATCATCCTAATACCAAAACTGGAAAAGGATATAACAAAAAAAATAAAACTTCAGGCCAACATCCCTGATGAATATCGATGTAAAAATTCTCAATAAAATATTGGGAAACTGAATCTAGCAGGATATCAAATAACTTATCCATCATGATCAAGTTGGCTTAATTCCTGGATGTAAGGCTGGTTCAAAATATGGAAATCAATAAACATAATCCATCACATAAACAGAATCAAAGACAAAAACTACATGATTATCTCAATAGATGCAGAAAAGTGCTTTGGTAAAATTCCACATTCCCTCATGTTAAAAAAAAAAACAAAAGCTCTGAATGAACTAGGTATTAATGGAAAAAACTCTGAATAAACTAGGTATTGATGGAACATATCTCAAAATAGTAAGAGCTATTTGTGACAAACCCACAGCCAGTATCATTAAATGGGCAAAACCTGGAAGTATTCCCTTTGAAAACTGGTGCAAAACAAGGACGCCCTCTCTTACCACTTCTTTTCAACATAGTATTGGAAGTTCTAGCAGGGCAAGAAAAAAGAAAGTGTATTCAAATAGGAAGAGAGGATGTCAAATTATCTGTTTGCAGATAACATGATTGTATATTTAGAAAACCCTATTGTCTCAGCCCAAAAACTCCTTAGGCTGATAACTTTAGCAAAGTGTCAGCATACAAAATCAGTGTGTAAAAATCACAAGCATTCCTTTCATCAACAGTAAACAAGCAGAGAGCCAAATCATTAATGAACTCCCATTCACAACTGCTACAAAGAAAAAAAAATACCTAGGAATATAGCTAACAGGGTATGTGAAGGACTTTTTTAAGGAGAACTACAAACCACCGCTCATGGAAATAAGAGAGGACATAAACAAACGGAAAAAAAATTCCATCCTTATACACAGGAAGAATCAATATCATGAAAATGGCCATACTGCCCAAAGTAACTTATAGATTCAATGCTATTCCCATAAAACTACCATTGACATTCTTCACAGAATTAGAAAACTACTTTAAATGTCATATAGAACCAAAGAAGACCCTGTACAGCCAAGACAATCATAAGCAAAAAGAACAAAGCTAGAGGCATCATGCCACCTGACTTTATGCTATGAGGCAACAGCAATCAAACAGCATGGTACTGGTACCAAAACAGATATATAGACCAATGGAACAGAACAGAGGCCTCAGAAATAATGCCACATATCTACAGCCATCTGATCTACAAACCTGACAAAAGTAAGCAATTGGGGAAAGAATCTCCTATTCAATAAATGGTGCTGGGAAAACTGGCTAGCCATATGTAGAAAACTGAAACTGGACCCCTACCTTATACCTTATACAAAAATTAACTCAAGATAGATTAAAGACTTAAATGTAAACCCCCAGAAGAAAACCTACACAATGCCATTCAAGACATAGGCATGTGCAAAGGCTCATGACAAAAATTCCGAAAGC